CCCACTCCCAGCCCAGGGCCCAGGAGCTGCCTCTCGCCTCTTAGCAGAGAGTGGAAGTTTCCCACCCAGTTTGGAGGATTGCCCGTTCCCACCCTGCTGAGGAGACCATTCCTCACCCGGCTGACAAGCTGCTGACGTGGTCTCTCCAAATCTCAGCTGAGCCTGAGTCCCTGTCGGAGGGTTGGGGCTGCACTTATTTATTGGGGGAGACAGCTCACTCTCCTGTCTCATCCCAGATGGGAGGAGGGGAGCCTGGGGTCAGTGTAGGACCCAGGGGTTTTGAACACCTAGCTGCTCCAGGGTGGGGGAGGTTGGTGGACCATGGAGTCCCTGGTGCTGCCCCTCAGGTGGGACCCAGGTGTTCTCAGCTCTACCCTCTACCAATGGCATTTGTGTTTTTGATATTGTGTCTGTTATTTTTTTAATACAAAATGAAAAACCAAAAAGTCCAAGACTTTGTGAAATGAAGTTGGGAGTTTGGGTGAGGGAAGGAGCCACCAGCAAGATTGTTTTGTAGGTGGGTTGATAAGCCCTATTCCTTCCCCCTCCGCATTCCTGGCAGCAAGGGACTTTGCTAAGTCTGGTAAACTCTCACACTTACTAAGAACTACACTCTCCACCACTACCTTAGCTTGGTTCCTGAGAAGCAGAGAGGCGACACGTGGTTAAGGTCTTGGCAAGCTCCAGTCTTGGTACTGGAGAAGCACTTGGTACTTGGTACTGGCAGAAGCAAGTGGGGTTCTGGGAATCTGGAGGTAGTTTAGCTAAGTTTCTTTAGCTTCATGTCAGTACCCCATCAGAAATAGCTCTTCAGCGGGTCAGTTTAGTTAGCTAAGACACTAGTCCTTTAACTCAGACTTGAAAGGGTAGGGGGGGCCAGGGTGGATCGAATCATCGGAGGTCCAGTTCAAATTGTTGGTCAATCTTCAGAATCCGCCTTTCCCGGCTTCCCGCTAGTAACAGCTGATCTGCTCTGTAGCAGTTAGCACACTGCTTGGCGCCGTGGCTTAGCTGGTTAAAGCGCCTGTCTAGTAAACAGGAGATCCTGGGTTCGAATCCCAGCGGTGCCTGGTTGGTTTGCATAGGAAGTGGTATATTATTGCCAAATTTGACCTTTCTCTCCCCAAGGGAGTCTTCCTCTTACCTAGTGTACTTCAGGCCGAACAGAGACCGCTTGTCCTTGAGACAAAGACCCTCAACTCTTGGAGGGACTGGAATAGGGTGGGGAACTGGTTTTATTGGGGTTCCGCTGTGGCTCTGCGAATGGAGTCCTGGAGAGAGGTGTTGCTCCTCAGAAGGTCGCGTGAAACCGCCAGCGCACGCGCACAGCTGCTTTGAGAAACCCAAATCCGCTATCTATAATGGTCAAGTGCCTTGATAGGCAGCTATAGCTCCGCAGGTCCAAGGCCGCACGCGGCTGTGATGGCCGAGTGGTTAAGGCGTTGGACTCGAAATCCAATGGGGTCTCCCCGCGCAGGTTCGAATCCTGCTCACAGCGGTAACAGTTTTGGTATTAGGTATTACGGCCTTGTTTAGCGCAAAGTACTTCGTTTTCTATCTAGTTCTTTCTTCCTTTGGAGAAACTCTCGCTGGGATTCAGCCACCCGGGACCCAGCTCGCTAGCGCCCCCGTGCGAAACAGACTTTCGTGGACTTGTAAAACGCGCTTCAATTTCAACTTCAAACTCCATCCCATCACAAAGATTCCCAGCTTCACTCAAAATCTACTTTCCGACGGTGTCACCTGAAACCATGAACCTTTCACTGTGCCTTCAACTCTATTTTTTATTTTTGAGGTTGTAATTTGATTACATTCAAATCTGCACGTATGCTCCCTGCTCTCCTTTAAACTCATGACCTTATTTTTCTAATTGTTATTGCATGCATATGTATATGTATATACACGTATATTCTCAAATATAACTTGTTCGGTTTGTATAATGCTACCTGTATATGTTTTCAGGGCTGGCGGTTTGGCATTGGACAACCAGTTGGTACACTCTTTCTTGGGGTGGGTCACCTCCCCGACTCCCAGCTTTCCTCAGTTGGCTATAGCTCGTTGTGTAGGGTTGAAGCTCTGCTCTCTTGTTTCCCACGGACATCCACAACTGCATGTCCTTACCACCACCCCTCTTCCTTTCCCCGATTTCTGCAGGAGAGACCTTAAACTCAACTGTGGTCAACCTCCACATCTAGATTTCCCATCCTTCTGACCTACGTTCCTCTCTTTTCCTGCCATCAAAATTTCCCTTTCTACTGTATTGCTCCCATCAGCTTCAAGACATGGGACAACAAAAATATCTGCTGTGTTCTTGAAAAGTCTTGTGTTAGCGACTTAATCCCCAGATGTGTAATTAGATGGGAGAAAGGGCTTTGAGGACTTTATTTGTACTAGAGGATATCATCACGATGGATGGTAATAGCTTTCTAAGAAGCGACTCTAACAAGCTTGCTTTTCTGTCACACCATGTGATTCCCCCTACCAGATTCTGATGCAGCAAAAAAGCTCGCACCAGATATGCTGGCACCATGTTCTCAGACTTCCCAGCTTCCAGACTGTTTAGCTAAATAGGCCTCTGTTCTTTCTGATTACTCAGACTAGAGTGTTGTGAGCCAACTGGAGAAAAGGTCAAAAACCAGTAAGACACTGTCTGGACCTGTGCTCTTCTTCAGTTACCATTCCATCCCTTGCTCCTCCATGCAGTAATGAATGATCTCACTGTCTTCCTTCCTATGCTCCTTTGACTCCCTCCAACTCTGTCCATACCCTCCTCACTGTCATAGCTGATGACTTTGTTAAGGTTACAAATAACCATACATTGCTAATTGAACAGTAGTCTGATGCTTGCCCTTAGAGAGAGGCTCTTCACTTGCCTTCCAGCCTTGACACCCTTCCAATGTCCCTTCTGCTTCATTTTTAGCTCGTTCACAGACTTGCCTTCTGGGTCTTCAGTGCTAGAGGAGTCACAAGGCTCAAACTTCCAAGGGTCTCTCTCCTCTACCTGTGCTTTCTGCCTAGGCATCTCTAGTCTAGTACCTTTAAAAGCCAGATAATACCTCACATTGCCTCACGTTTTCCTCTCAATATCTGGGACTGTTCCCTGAATGCTTACATACAATTTGCTGCTTCCCGTCTCCACTCGTCTATCTAGCAGGGATGCACCTTTCCCTCAAAGCTGCCTCATCTGTAGTCTTCTCATTGTGGTCAAGGAAAATTCTCTTAAAACCCTTAGGATCATCCTTGGCTCTTCTTTTTCTAACATTCCATATTGATCAGTCAGCAACAACTTTTTCTAATACGAAAGGCTTAGCTAAGTGCCACTGACTTCATTATTACATTCTAATTCAGGCTTGTCTCTCACCTGTCACCTGGATTATTGCAGCGTCTCCTAACTTACCTCCTGGTGTCCAGTCTCTTGGGATGCCAGAGATTAAACCCAGGACTTCTCAAAAGCTGCGGGCGAGGCACACTCTGTCTAACTAAGGTATGCCCCTTTCTACTATCTTTCTTGTGACTACAGTTCTCTTCCAGTTCTTTTGGTGGGAGGTGGGGGTAGGGGAAGGGTAGTACAGGATATGGCCTCAAATTCACTATTCTTACTATGTAGTTGGGCTTGAAATTCACAGTGATCCTTCTACCCCAGCCTCCAAAGTGTTGGGATTACAGGCATGCTCTTCCCTTCCCCTCCCCAGAAAAGGGTGACGCTTCTAATATATAAATCAAAGGGGAAGGAGTGGAGGTTGGGACACACCTGTAATCTTCCACTCTCAGCGAGTGAAGGCAAGAGGTTCTCCAGTTTGAGAAAGGCTCTGGTTACGTAGTGAGAGTCTGTTTCAAAATGCAGCAAAATACTAACCAGCTAACCAAAATCAAACAGACTAACTCAGTAGAGTAGCACTTGCCTCATGTGAAAAGGACCTGGGGTCGGATCCCCAGATCCAGAAAAAAAAAATTAACAACAACAAAAAAATCATGAATCAGATTCCACCATTCTTCCATCCTTTCAGAGTCTTCCAATGGGTAGTGTCAATATAAGCTCAGGGTTTTAGTGTATGTAGAAATAGAAACAAATTATCACAAAGACAATTTTCTCACTCTTTCTCTTATGGGAATTTTTTTTTAGCATTGTTCTTGAAGGAAAGAAGCAGTCAATAGATATAGACACCTTCAACAAAGTTTATTTGGTAAAGTTAAGCAAAGTAAACACTCCAGAGAAAGATGATGGGAGTGGCTTCCCTAAGGCAGAGAGCAGTCCCGTGGGTTCTGTGTTGTGGATTTTAAAGAAAATAATGAATATTTTTATGAGGTGAGTGGCATATTCATAGGGGAAGGTCACACTCCCCCCCCTCAAATAATGATGTCTGTGTGTCAAATCACAGGCACATGGTATTCTAAGGATACCAGCCTTTTGATGAGGGTCCAAACCCTTCAACCTCATCTGTGTAGCAGAAGGCTCTACTGCCTCCATTTCTGATGTAGTAGGAACCTAACTGCAATTTCAGGGATGTCTAACCACAAAGGGACCTTGGACTATCAGCAGATGCAGGTATCAAGAGGAAGCTACAGTTTCCTAGGTTACTTCCTGTCTCAGTCCTTACCTACCGAGGATCATTTCCCTTGAGTGAGCCTAGAAGCATAGACATACTAGTAGGTACCAGCACATAAAGCAAACAAACGAAAACCTAGATCTCAGGCAATAGATGCCATTCTCTAACAGGAACCAAGGCTCTTCTTGCATAAAAGGATTATTCACAGCTGGGACTGAGGAGTTATCAGATAGTTTTGGTACACTTTGTTACGCCAGAAAAGAAGAAAGCATTCAAAGAATAGCCAGCCAGTAGGCAAGAAGGCAGAGCAAGTGAGACAGCATACCCAGCTGAACTACCATTGGCTAAGTCTAGGATAACTGAGGTTGACATCATGGTTGCAGGGCTGGGATGGAGCTCGTGTGAAAGAGCGCTTGCCTAACGGGTGCAAAGGTTTTAGATCCCTAGCACCTCATAAAACTGGATGAAGGTGCATGCTTTTTAATCCCGCTAATTGGAGGTGTAGATGAGGATTACAAATTTAAAGTTATTACAGGCTATATGAGACCTTGACTCTAAATGAATAAAATTATTATTTTTTATTTTGTTTGTTCTTTTTGAGTTTTGGGTCTTGTTCTGGGACTTACTATGTAGATCATGCTGGCCTTGAATTCACAGACATCCACCTGCCTCTGCTTCCCGAGTGCTGGGATTAAAGATGTGGGCCACCAAATCAGACTGACACAGAGTCTTTCTATGGCAGCTCTGGTTGTCTTGGCATTCCCTTTGTAGACTAGACTGGCCCAAAAGTCACAGAGATCTGCCTGCCTTTGCCTCCTGAGTCCTGGGATTAAGATGTGCGCCACCACAATCAACTCTGAATAAATGATTGTAATGGAGTATATAGTTCAATACTTCATTGGATTAATAAAACAGTTCAAAGTTTCTAACCAATATAAATAGATGGGATTACAGAACAAAACCTGTTTTCTTCCTCTTTCTTTTTCTTTTGGAAGTTTGGTCTCATGTAGTCCAGGCTGGCCTCAAACTCCTTATAGGGAAAACCTTTCTGATTCTCCTGCCTCTGCTTCTCAAGTGCTAGGAATACAGGTGCTACCGTGTCCTGGCACCCCATTCTTCCAGGATGAGATTTTGCAGAATTACAGTCATCATCCTCTATTCCCTTTCTCCACTTTTTCTTCAGTGTACTTGCTGCCTGCCAAGTGATATTTTGGGTAACCCACATGGACTGTTTTCCCACCAAGAGCAGAAGCCAGTAAGGACAAAACTCATTGCCTACTTTGTTTGGACCTGTTTGTGTGGAGCCTAGAACACAGCTAAGACAAATGTGCTGAGGACTGAAGACATGGAAGGCAGGATTCACCTTTTATAGCTGTGGTCTTTAAAGTTTATGATATTCTTTCCTGTTGAGACCCTTCTTTGAAACAACAGAAAAGAAAATAAAAATAAAAATAAAAAATATTCCTTCCTATTTTATCTGAGCCTGTGATTCCCCTGTTTAGTTCTGAATCACAGAACAAGAGACCAGGAAGCTGAACCACACTGAGTTTGTTTTAGGAGTCTAGAACTCTCCTCTGTGTTCTTGCTTTGGTTCCAGGCTGAGTTTTCTTACTTTCAACCTTCAAGCCCCAGAGAAATAGCCTTCTAGGAACTGAACTCCCCTATTCAGGGACCAGGGCATCCTAACAAGTCCACTTTCCCTTTGAAGATGGAAAGGGAGGTGTCACAGTGGGAGAGGGGAAGCTAAGCACCTCTCGAGCTGTACCAGTCTTTCTTCTTCTGTCAGCATCCCTAGAGGCCTAACATGTGGCCATGTACTGTTCTCCCCTGAACTTCAGTGTGGCTCACCATAGTGCAGTGAGACATAGATGCCTGTACATGTACTGTTAGGTTACAACCATGACATGCATGAACACAGGCTCTCTCTGTTTTTTTTTTTTTTTTTTGTGTGTGTGTGTGTTTTGGTTTTTGAGACAGGATTTCTCTGTGTAACAGTCCTTCCTGGCTGTCCTGGCATTCTCTCTGTAGACAAGACTGACTGGCCTTGAGATCCACCTGCCTCTGCCTCCCTAGTGCTGGGATTAAAGGTGTTCGCCACCACTGCCCAGCCACAGGCTCTCTCTGAAACAGGGGCTTCTTAGAGATGCCCACTCCCGTTCCCAAACAAAGGTATACTAGGCACATCCCACAGGCCACACCTGCACCAGCAAAGAGCTGGAGTCAAATTACTCAGTTCATTTACTAGTCTCACTGGAGGGCAACCTTAGGTTTTGAGGGGCTGAAAAAGTACATACTTTTATTTATTTACTTTTGAGACAGGGTTTCTCTTTGTAGCCCTGGCTATACTGGAACTCACAATGTAGACTACATTGTAGGGATCTGCCTGACTCTGCCCCCGGAGTGCTGGGATTAAAGGCATGCACCACCACCTGGCATACAAGATTTTTAAAAGGAAAAAAAAATTAGGCATTGTTAAGTAACGTTTAGAACAACGCAAGAATATATTGATTTACATATTTTAAAAACTGACAAATAGAGAATGAAACTCTAAGTTCAATCCTAAATACTAGGGGAAAAAATCTGTCAAATGGTCAGTGAAGTAGTTACAGTGAAATAGTTACAATGATGATTAAAACCTTAATTAATACTTAATAAAGGAAACACTGACAAACACCTGGAGAGCTCCCTAACTTCTGGCAAACCTCCACAATATTCTCCACAGACTGCCTGCCTACTTTGTGTATTTCTTTTTCTTCATGTATATGTGCAATTTACAGCATGCTATGGCCCTGTGAACACCTTCCTGAAACCTCCAGATCTTGTTTTTGGGTTTCTCAGTGTCATTAGCATTATGGTGAATCAGCTTGTGTACTTCTCAAACAGGCTCCCAGCCGGCGGAGAAAGCCTATCTTCTTAAACCGGTAGGTTTGTTTTTCTTCTTTTCAAATTGAGCATTTCACAGGTTTCTTATCAGATGGCCTACAGCACTTCTGATGCCCAGGGGATAACGGGGATCTGGGTGGGATTGGAGATGGGTGGGCTGATGCCAGCGGGGGTGGGGGATGGGGTGTTGAATGAGCCTCAGTAGCAGGGAAGACTCCTTTCCCATTGAGAGGTGGGGAATTGGAGGGTATAGCACAGGAAAGTGGGGCCTCTCTGATTGCTACATTTTCTTAAAAGAGCATTTGCTCAAGCTAGGATGTCAACTCGAAAGTGGTCTTGTTACCAAAGCTGGCCTTGAATTCTCCATTGCACTTAGACTAATCCCCAAGGTCTTCTAAGGCTTCCTTCCAAAAATCCTGTGAAATGTCCTCCACTCCATCCCCCAATTCTCTGTTCTAGGTTCTTTCTTTAGCTCCCACCAACAAATGTCTTTTCAACAGGAGGGCTTGATTGGACTCATGGGTGACTATGCTGAGATACATGTTATCACTGCCGGGAGGTTGCCTCTGACCACTTTCATTGTCACGTTATTCCAATTATCCTTACAACCACGTGAAATTATCTTGCTCTATTTTCTGCCTTCTTGGTTGTTTCCTGCCTCCCCGCTGCCAGTAATACACGTTGGGGCCAATGTAACCCCAACGTCTAACAATAGTGGGCACATAGCAGGCACACAGATGTAGGATTGAGCGGGCAAATGTGCCAGCTGGGTTAGCCAAGATTGTTTACTTTTCTCCTAGGGCCACAGCCCCTGCTTGGAACTGAGAAGGGAGCGTTGTCACTGGCACAATCCAAGATGAGACCCCCATCAGGCTGAAAGAGACAGGAGACAGCTGAGAGAGGAGAGGAAGACTTAAACCGGAATTCAGACTGTGAGAACCCGAGAAGGCCGGGAGGTGGGGCGCGGAGTGGGGCGGAGCGCTCGGGAGGGG